GCTGCGGACTGCCCTTTTATAGATTTCAGAATCAAGCAGACAAAGAACATACTAGTACATACATCTTCATACAATCATCATCATCCCTACGTCATCTGAGCATCATAAGAATATCAGGTTCCAACCTCCAACATGCAAAAAGCATGTCTCTGTCTCTAGCTGAAGAGCCAGCATGGAGTATTCCCCCTCCCTCTTGGCTGTGCTTACAGTCATCCATCAAAGGGGCCCTCTGACTTGTCAAGAGGCTTCTTACTTAGAGGGGGCCTTCTCGTACCAGCCTGTGTCTTATCTCTCTTCTGGAATGCATGCCCCTTCTGAAGACAAGCAGTTTGCTTGCTGTTAGTATTCTTGCTACACAGAGGGAACTAGATTTTCCTATACATTTAAAGTACATATGATTTTTATGCATAAATCAATCAATAAATATCCATTTTTCCAATATCTCCTCATCATTACTAGCCAGAACTAAAGCAGGAACAAGTATTGCCACAAAAGAGCTCCAAAGGGAAGCCACAGATAAACCATCTTCTATCAATTTGCCTATGCAAATGGGGGCAGTCAAGAGTGCAAATGGCCTTCTCCGCTGTGGCTCCCTGTCTTTGGAACTCACTACCTGGTGAGATTAAGCAAGCCCCCTCCTTAGCAGACTTCAAGAAAAACCTGAAAACCTGGCTCTTCCGATGTGCCTTTGGAGAATGAGCATTTTTCCCACTTCTGTTTGCCCCATCTATAGTGTTGCCCCTATGATGCACCTTCCCCCATCCTAAACTGAAAGCCTTACCCCACTCTTTTATCCTTCTTGGGCTCCCCTCAATGACACATTTTCAATTCCTACCTCACCCAGGGTTTTATCATTTTATCTCGTCCATTTGGCCTGCCAATCCTGTTCGATTTTATATTGTGTTAATTTGCTTTATTATTTTATCTTGCTACTGTAATTATTTTCGGATGTAATTTTTGTTCTTTGCATTCTGTATTTTATTGTGTTGTATTGTATTTTTGGGCTTGGCCTCATGTTAGCCGCCCCGAGTCCCCATTGGGGAGATGGTGGTGGGGTATAAATAAAGTTGATTATTATTATTATTGTTATTATTGTTGTTATTATTATTATTAAAGGTCAAAACCAATACTTTGCACTTTGCCCGGAAACTAATTGGCGGCCAGTGGAGTGACTTTAGGATAGTAGACGTTTGGCTTCATTTTAAACTCAGAACTATGTGTCTTCAAAGGTGTGCCCCTTTATCTCACCCTCAGTTTTTAAATCATTTTATGTACATGCAGCCCGCTCTTAGTCATTATGTTTGGTTTCTATGTTCTGTGTATATTGCTTATATGCTTTGATGTTTTATACTTTATTGTTATATTGTTAATTTTATTGCAATTTGTATTTTGTATTGTAATTTGTTGTTTGAGCTGTGTTGTATTGTATTTTTGGGCTTGACTCCCTGTAAGCCACTCTGAGTCCCCGTTGGGTGAGATGGTGGCGGGGTATAAAGATTATTATTATTATTATTATTATTATTATTATTATTATTATTATTACTAGCCGCCCCCTGCCAAGCGTTGCTGTGGCCCAGTCTAGTGATCTGGAAAATAAAGTAATGTGAAAGTGGGTTTCTAATATATGTAATTTCTTTCTACTTGTGGGTAAATAGTATCTTTGTCAGTGTTGATGTGGAGATTGTCTGGTTTGCCCACCTTGGAATATGCAACATAGCCTTGTCCTTCTTTAGGGGTCCCTTTCAAATCTATGATACTATATCTGTGTGTGTGTGAATCATATCTATCTATATTTATGACTGGATGACTCTTTGTCAGGAGGGCTTTGATTACATGTCCTTGCCCTGGTGAAGAGAGTTGGACTGGATGGCCTTAAGTATTTTCTGTTGGTCATGGGGGTTCTGTGTCGTTTGTGGGGTTCAGAATGCTCTTTGATTGTAGGTGAACTATAAATCCCAGTAACTACAACTCCCAAATGTCAAGGACGATTTCCCCCAAACTCCATCTGTGTTCATATTTGGGCATATGGAATATTTGTGCCAAGTTTGGTCCAGATCCATCATTGTTTGAGTCCACAGTGGTCTCTGGATGTAGGTGAACTACAACTCCAAAACCCACCAAACCCTTCCAGTGTTTTCTGTTGGTCATGGGTGAATTGTGTGCCAAGTTTGGCCCAATTCCATCGTTGGTGGAGTTCAGAATTCTCTTTGATTGTAGGTGAAATCCCAGTAACTACAAATCCCAAATGTCAAGGTCTATTTTCCCCAAACTCCACCAATGTTCACTTTTGGGCATATTGAGTATTTGTGTGAAAGTTTGGTCCAGATCTATAACTGAGTCCATAGTGCCCACCAAACCCTTCTAGTGTTTCTGTTGGTCATGGGAGTCTTGTGTGCCATGTTTGGTTAAATTCCATAATTGGTAGAGTTCAGAATGCTCTTTGATTGTAGGTGAACTATAAATCCCAGAAACTACAACTCCCAAATGACAAAATCAATATTTTTTTTCGTGAGACATACATTGGGTTGTTAGGTGTACCGTGTCCACATTTGGTGTCAATTCCCCCATTGGTTTTTGAGTTCTGTTAATCCCACAAACGAACATTACATTTTTATTTATATAGACTATATTATATGCTCACTCCTAGATGTTCCTGCAACCAAACTGGCTTTTTCAAATAAAACAAAACAAAACAGAAGTTTCTGGAGTACAACAACTATTTTCAAAGTAAGTACCGCACAACTAAACAGGAAATAACACTTTCAAACCAGAAACAGGAAATATTTCAAATTTTGTTACATAGTGTAATAGAGCCAGGCGAGACAAAATTTCCAGGGGTGAAGGTGAAGCAATCCCCTCCTGGCTGTTTGCCCTTTCGCAGACGACACCAAATTGGGAGGGATAGCCAATACTCCAGAGGACAGGAGAAGAATTCAAAACGATCTTGACAGATTAGAGAGATGGGCCAAAACTAACAAAATGAAGTTCAACAGTGACAAATGCAAGATACTCCACTTTGGCAGAAAAAATGAAATGCAAAGATACAGAATGGGGGACAATGCCTGGCTCGAGAGCAGTACGTGTGAAAAAGATCTTGGAGTCCTCTGGACAAGTTAAACATGAGCCAACAATGTGATGTGGCGGCAAAAAAAGCCAATGGGATTTTGGCCTGCATCAATAGGAGATAGTTCTAGATCAGGGGTCCTCAAACTTTTTAAACAGAGGGCCAGGTCACAGTCCCTCAAACTGTTGGAGGGCCGGATTATAATTTGAAAAAAATGAATGAATTCCTATGCACTCTGAACATATCTTATTTGTCATGCAAAAAACACTTAAAAACAATACAAAATGAAAATGAAGAACAATTTTAACAAATATAAACTTATTAGTATTTCAATGGAAAGTGTGGTCCTGCTTTTGGCTGATGAGATAGGATTGCTGTTGTTGTTGTGTGCTTTCAAGTCATTTCAGACTTAGGTTGACCCTGAGCGAGGGCCAGGTAAATGACCTTGGAGGGCCGTATCTGGCCCCGGGCCTTAGTTTGAGGAGTCTAGTGTCTAGATCCAGGGAAGTCATGCCACCCCTCTATTCTGCCTTGGTTAGACCACACCTGGAATATTGTGTCCAATTCTGGGCACCACAATGCAAGAGAGATATTGACAAGCTGGAATGTGTCCAGAGGAGGGCGACTAAAATGATCAAGGGTCTGAAGAACAAGACCTATGAGGAGCGGCTTAAGGAGCTGGGCATGTTTAGCCTGAAGAAGAGAAGGCTGAGAGGAGATATGATAGCCATGTATAAATATGGCTTTTCCGATGCGCCTTCCCAGATTAGGAAATCTCAGCTACCAAGTCCCATAAGCACCTTATCAAAGCCAATGACTGCTGCAAATCGCACTTGCCCTTGAAGCCTCATATACACCTCCTGTCACATCAGCACTTTTAATTCTTGTTCCCATTACTCTGGCATGGCCCAGTTCCTATTGTGTTTTAGTGTATTGCTTTTGCCTGTTGTTTATTTGCTTTATCCTGTTTTCAATTGTTTGATTTGCCTAGTTTGTATTGCTATGTTGTGTGCTGAGGCCTCGGCCTGTGTAAGCCGCATCGAATCCTTCGGGAGATGCTAGCGGGGTACAAATAAAGTTTAATAATAAGTTTAATAATAATATATGTGAGAGGAAGCCACAGGGAGGAGGGAGCAAGCTTGTTTTCTGCTTCCTTGGAGACTAGGACGCGGAGCAATGGCTTCAAACTACAAGAGAGGAGATTCCATCTGAACATTAGGAAGAACTTCCTGACTGTGAGAGCCGTTCAGCAGTGGAACTCTCTGCCCCGGAGTGTGATGGAGGCTCCTTCTTTGGAAGCTTTTAAGCAGAGGCTGGATGGCCATCTGTCAGGGGTGATTTGAATGCAATATTCCTGCTTCTTGGCAGAATGGGGTTGGACTGGATGGCCCATGAGGTCTCTTCCAACTCTTTGATTCTATGATTCTATGTGTTCACAGGGGCATTTTTGGGAGAGCGGTCTGCCAGAGACTAGGAGGCAACGTTAGACCTTGAAGGCCCAGACCTGCCCCATCCCCTTGCGGCGGCCTCCAACTCTTTGATTCATAACAGTCATATCAGAGTGAACCATATTGGCTTGCTTTCCAGCGGGGAGTCTTGGCTGGCTCCTTCAGAGCATTTCAGGGGGGCTTCTTCGAGAGCAGAGCCCACCGCTCTCTTTGGGCCTCGCTTTATGGCGCCCCCAGCGGGACAGGAGCAGAAGAGGCAGCGGCGCGCGAGAGTCTCGTGACGGCGGGGGTGGGGCACCTGGTTGAGAGGGTGTCATTTATTTCCTCACCGATTGGGCGTCAAGGTGCCTGTCAGACGGAAAGCCCCGCCTTACAGGAAGTGGGCGGAACCTGATTGGAGGAAGTGGCCTCCTGGAAACCAATCCTTGTAGAGGTCGAGGCCGCGCGCGCGCGCACACACACACACAGTCACCTCCCGCCTCTGTTGGCGTGCTTGCTTCCGGCCCGCTTCCTGTTTCCGGCGCACGGGGCTGTCGGCGCTTCCTTTCGGGTCGGCATGAGGCGTCACGAGGCCCCGCTAGGCTCCCGCTAACCGGCTCCCTCCCTTCCTCTTCGGGCGGGCTTCCTTCGCAGCCGAGGGGCCACCGGTGGCTGGAGCCGCAGGTGAGAGACAGCGGCGCCCTCCCTCTTTCCCACTTTCCCTCGGGGCTCCTTCGCTCCATATGCCTTCCATAGAGCCTCTTCATTTTTTCCATCGCCGCCTCCTCCTCCGTGGCTCTGCTTATAGAATCAAACAGTTGGAAGAGATCTCATGGGCCATCCAGTCCATCCCCCTGCCAAGAAGCAGGAAAATTGCATTCAAAGCACTCCTGACAGATGGCCATCCAGCCTCTGTTTAAAAGCCTTCAAAGAAGGAGCCTCCACCACACTCCGGGGAAGTGAGTTCCACTGCTGAACAGCTCTCACAGTCAGGAAGTTCATAGAATCAAAGAGTTGGAAGAGACCTCATGGGCCATCCAGTCCAACCCCTTGCAAAGAAGCAGGAATATTGCATTCAAATCACCCCTGACAGATGGCCATCCAGCCTCTGTTTAAAAGCTTCCAAAGAAGGAGCCTCCACCACACTCCGGGGCAGAGAGTTCCACTGCTGAACGGCTCTCACAGTCAGGAATTTCTTCCTCATATTATTATTATTTATTATTATTATTTGCTTTACTTCTATACCGCCTTTCTCAGCCGAAATGGCGACTCAAGGCGGTTTACATAGTAAAGGTTATCACAACAGTATCAAAAAGTCAATTAAAAACACATTATACAAAATATACCAAATCAAAACAATCATTATCATAAGCCTCAGCAAACAAATCAGAATCAGAGTCCGTAATCATAATCCTTATACCAATTCCTATGTTCGGTTGTACCATCTTCATGTATTCATTGCACTATTTAGCCAAACGCTTGTTCGTAAAGCCAAGTCTTGACCTTCCTCCGGAATGCCAGCAGTGAAGGGGCCTGTCTGATGTCCACAGGTAGGGCATTCCACAGCCGAGGGGCCACCACCGAGAAGGCCCTGTCCCTCGTCCCCGCCAACCGTGCCTGTGATGCAGGCGGGACCGAAAGCAGGGCCTCCCCAGACGATCTTAATGTCCTAGTCGGTTCATAGGTGGAGATGCGTTCGGAGAAGTAAGTAGGGCCAGAACCGTTTAGGGCAGGGGTCCCCAAACTACGGCCCGCGGGCCGTATGCGGCCCGCCTGGCCTGGCCTGGCCACGCCCACCCGGCGCCGTTCCGCCCATCGCAGGAACCCTCTGCTCCGGCCCTTATGCTCATGTGGGAGGGAGAAGCCTTTTGTAGTTTACCTGCCTCCTTGGAGACCAGAGCGGCCGGAGCAGAGGGTTCCTGCGAAGGCTGGAGCGGCGCCGGGTGGGCGTGGCCAGCGGCGCCGGGTGGGCGTGGCCAGGGAACGCCGCTGGCCACGCCCACCCGGCGCCGCTCCGGCCTTTGCAGGAACCCTCTGCTCCGGCCGCTCTGGTCTCCAAGGAGGCAGGTAAACTACAATTCCAAAACCAAAGGACACTGCCCACCAAACCCTTCCAGTATTTTCTGTTGGTCATGGGAGAACTGTGTGCCAAGTTTGGTTCAATTCCACCGTTGATGGGGTTCAGAATGCTCTTTGATTGTAGGTGAACTATAAATCCCAGCAACTACAACTCTCAAACGTCAAGATTCTATTTCCCCCATACTCCACAAGTGTTCACATTTGGGCATATGGAATATCAGTGCCAAGTTTGGTCCAGATCTATCATTGAGTCCACAGTGATTGATGGAGGCAGGTGAACTACAACTCCAAAACCAAAGGACACTGCCCACCAAACCCTTCCAGTATTTTCTGTTGGTCATGGGAGAACTGTGTGCCAAGTTTGGTTCAATTCCATCGTTGGTGGGGTTCAGAATGCTCTTTGATTGTAGGTGAATTATAAATCCCAGCAACTACAATTCCCAAATGTCAAGGTTCTATTTTCCCCAAACTCCACCAGTGTTCACATTTGGGCATATTGAGTATTTGTAAAGTTTGGTCCAGATCCATCATTGTTTGAGTCCACAGTGATCTCTGGATGTAGGTGAACTACAACTCCAAAACCAAAGGACACTGCCCACCAAACCCTTCCAGTATTTTCTGTTGGTCATGGGAGAACTGTGTGCCAAGTTTGGTTCAATTCCATTGTTGGTGGGGTTCAGAATGCTCTTTGATTGTAGGTGAACTATAAATCCCAGCAACTACAACTCCCAAATGACAAAATCATTTTTTTTAGTGAAGGACATACATTGGGTTGTTAGGTGTCTTGTGTCCAAATTTGGTGTCAATTCGTCCAGTGGTTTTTGAGTTCTGTTAATCCCACAAACAAACATTACATTTTTATTTATATAGAAGTGTGGGTTTTTGTTTTTTGATTTGGGGGGGGGGGGTTAGCACTGCAAATAATATATGTGCAGAGTGCATAGGAATTCATTCATGTTTTTTCAAATTATAATCCGGCCCTCCAACAGTTTGCGGGACTGTGACCCGGCCCTCTGTTCAAAAAGTTTGGGGACCCCTGGTTTAAACTTTCAAGGAGTTGTCTTTCTTGTAGTTTGAAGCCATTGTTCCCCGTCCTAGTCTCCAGGGAAGCAGAAAACAAGCTTGCTCCCTCCTCCCTGTGGCTTCCTCTCACATATTTATACATGTCTCCTCTCAGCCTTCTCTTCTTCAGGCTAAACATGCCCAGCTCCTTAAGCTGCTCCTCATAGGGCTTGTTCTCCAGACCCTTGATCATTTTAGTCACCCTCCTCTGGACACATTCCAGCTTGTCAATATCTCTCTTGAATTGTGGTGCCCAGAATTGGACACAATATTCCAGGTGTGGTCTAACCAAGGCAGAATAGAGGGGTAGCATTACTTCCCTAGATCTAGACCAGGGATCCTCAAACTAAGGCCCGGGGGCCGAATACGGCCCTCCAAGGTCATTTACCTGGCCCTCGCTCAGGGTCAACCTAAGTCTGAAATGACTTGAAAGCACACAACAACAACAACAATCCTATCTCATCAGCCAAAAGCAGGCCCACACTTTCCATTGAAATACTAATAAGTTTATATTTGTTAAAATTGTTCTTCATTTTCATTTTGTATTGTTTTTAAGTGTTTTTTGCATGACAAATAAGATATGTTCAGAGTGCATAGGAATTCATTCATTTTTTTCAAATTATAATCCGGCCCTCCAACAGTTTGAGGGACTGTGACCTGGCCCTCTGTTTAAAAAAGTTTGAGGACCCCTGATGAAGATAGATAGCCATGTGCAGGCCAAAATCCCATTGGCTTTTTTTTTTGCCGCCACATCACATTGTTGGCTCATGTTTAACTTGTTGTCCACATGAGGACTCCAAGATCTTTTTCACACATGCTGCTCTCGAGCCAGGCATCCCCATTCTGTATCTTTGCATTTCGTTTTTTCTGCCAAAGTGGAGTATCTTGCATTCATGTGCCATAGAGTCATACAGTCGCAAGGCACCCCAAGGGCCGCTCCATTCTGTCATGCAGTAACACTTTATCAAAACGCTCCTGACAGATAGCCATGCTCCCTCTGGTTAAAAACCTCCAGAAAAGGAGGCTGCCACATAGTAGAAAGAAGACATGCCTAATGAGACACTAGACTTGAAGAAAGCCAACTTCAGTAAACTTAGGGAAAACCCGAGTGTGATCCCATGATCAGGAGTTCGTGATGGATGAGACTTTCTGAAAAGTGAGGTATTGTAGGCACAGTTTCAAACAGTTCCAACGAGGATGGAAAATAGGAGGTGCCTCAAGAAACCAGAATGGATGTCTAGAGAATTTTCAGTTGAACCTAAGATTTAAAAGGGGCACTTACAAGAAAGGGAAAAAGAGAGAAACCAACAAAATTAATTTCAACAGGGAGAAATGTAAGGTACTAGTCTTAAGCAATAAAAATGAAATGCACAGATATAGGATGAGGGACAACTTGGCTTGAAAGCAATCTATGTAAAAGGGATCTAGGAGTCCTAGTAGACCACAAGCTGAACACTGTGAGTCAACACTGTGATGCAGCAGTTTAAAAAGCCAATGGGATTATAAGCTGCATCACTAGGAGCACAGTGTCTAGATCAAGAGAAGTAAAAGTACCACTCTATTCTGCTTTGCTCCGACCTCAACTGGAATACTGTAGCACCACAGTTCAGGTAGGATATTGACAAACTGCAAAATATTCAGGGAAGGGCAACCAAAGTGATCAAAGGTTTGGAAGGCAAGCTCTATGAAGAGTGGCTTAGGGAACCTGGAGAAAAGAGGGGACATTATAGCCATGTTTAAATACTGAAAGGATGTCACACTGAGGTGGGGGAAAGCTTGTGTTCTGCTGCTCTGGTGACTAGAACTCGGAGTAAGGGATTCAAATTGTATGAAAAGAGATTCCACACAAACATTAGGAAGAACTTCCTGATCATAAAATGATAAGAGACCACATGGCCCATCTAGCCCAGTGTTTCTCAACCTTCTTAATGCAATTCCTCATGTTGTGGTGCCCCTGAACAATAAAATTATTTTCGTTGCTACTTCATAACTGTAATTTTGCTACTGTTATGAACCGTAATGTAAATATCCGATATGCAGGATGTATTTTCATTCACTGGACCAAATTTGGCACTACTGGTTGGGTTGGAAGGGATTGATTTTGTCATTTGGGAGTTTTCGTTGCTGGGATTTATAGTTAACCTACAATCAAAGAGCATTCTGAACTCCACCAACAATGGAATTAAACCAATCTTAGCACACAGAACTCCCATGACCAAGAGAAAATACTGGAAGGGTCTGGTGGGCATTGACCTTGAATTTGGAGTTGTAGTTCACCTACATCCAGAGAGCACTGTAGACTCAAAAAAATGACAGATCTGGACCAAACTTGGCGCGAATACTCAGTATTCCCAAATGTGAACACTGGTGGAGTTTGGGGAAAATAGACCTTGACATTTGGGGGTTGTAATTACTAGAACTTACAGTTCACCTATAATCAAAGAGCATTCTGAACCCCATCAACGATAGAATTGGGACAAACTTCCTACACAGAACCCCTATGACCAACGGAAAATACTGTGTTTTCTGACACCCCCTTGCGACCCCCCTCCCCAGTGGTCCCGACCCCCAGGTTGAGAAATGCTGATCTAGTCCAATCCCTTGCCATGCAGGAAAAGCACAAAGTACACTTGACAGATGGCCATCCAGCCTCTATTTAAAAGCCTCCAAAGAAAGCATCCACCCCACTCTGAGGAAGAGAGTTCCACTGCTAAACAGCTCTTACAGCCAGGCAGTTCTTCCTGGTCTTCAGGTGGACTTTTCTTTCCTGAAATTTGAATCCATTGCTCCAAGTCCTAGTCTCCAGGACAGCAGAAAACAAGCTTTCCCCCTCTTCAACATGATATCATTTCAGGTCTCTAAACACAGCTATCATGTCTCCTCTCAGCCTTCTCTTCTCCAAGCTGAACAACACCCAGCTCCCTCAGCCACTTCTCATAGGGCATGGCTTAGTATTACAGGAGGTAATGTAGGCAAATGCTGTGCTTTTGCGCTTCTAATGGCAATGGCATGGAGGCTTCAAAGCCGCGGGGCTTAGATCCATATGCCTCTGCCCCCCTCTCTTGTGAAGCCTGCAACGTTTTTGCAGTTGAGGGGGAGTCACACTTGTTGATTGAAGTACTTGCTTGGTCCCAAAAGCCGAAGAGTAGCCAGAGGTTTCTGGGCGTCCCTTGTCTGTCTCTAGAGTACAGAATGATAACCTTTAAAATAAACATTTTCAAAATAGTACATAATGCTAAGACACCGAGTGGGTCCGTCTTTCATTTTAACCCTTTTAAGCTTCCTGGATTCAATTGAGAGTGCAAGCAAACCATAAACACCCCCCTTCAACTATGTCTGGATTGTGTCCATTACTGAACATAAGTCAGAAGGTGATTCCCCTTTTATCTGCTTATTACACTATGTAACAAAATAATTTTGTTCCTGGTTTGAAAGGGTTATTTCCTGTTGAACTGTGTGGTGCTTACTTTGAAAGTAGTTGTTATACTCTATTAACTTTGTTTTTGTGACTGCCACAAATTATATTGAATTGGTTGAGACTATGAGATATTCATTGAAAAAGTATAGCAAATTGTGCTGCAGAATGTCCCATAAAAACAAAGCTATTGCAGTTGAATATTTATTATTTATTTATTTATTTACAGTTCTTATATTCCGCCCTTCTCACCCCGCAGGGGACTCAGGGCGGATTACAGTAAACACATATATGGCAAACATTCAATGCCAGTTTGACAAACAACATTTAACAGACAAAGGCTATTTAACTTTTTTTTTTTTTCTGGCCGCCAGGGGAGCTGCTGCTTTTCATCGTCCATCAACGACACCGATGGAAGTTCTTCCGCATTCCACATTCCCCGGAGTCTTCTTTCTTTATGGCCTCATAAATTAGTTAAATTTAGCCTCCCACACAAGGTGGTACCTTATTTTCCTACTTGACAGATGCAACTGTCTTTCGGGTTGCAAAGGTCGACAACGGGCTACACAATGGCTGGACACCCACTCCAGCCCGGGGTGGCTTCGAACTCATGACCTTTTGGTCAGAGTGATCTTAATGCAGCTGACACTCAGCCAGCTGCGCCACAATCCCGGTGCACTGTTTCCATGTTTTTATGATGCTATTTATTTACTCTATTTATATCCCTCCTTTCTCTACCCCGAAGGGGACTCAAGGCGGCTTTACATATGGCAACAGACAATGAAATACATTTAAGTTAAAAATTAAAATTCACATTAAAACATATAAACATTATAATCACTATTAAAATCACAATTAAAACCAATTAGGAAATGACATATCACAGGAACAAAAATTGTGTTACGTAATGAAATGCTTAAACACTGATAGGGTCTGTCCTATGTCTTCACTGCAGTCGAGCCCTTTTAAGCTTCCTGAATTCCATTTAGAGCTGCAAACAAACAATAAACAATCCCCTTCAACTGTGTCTGGATTGTGTTCATAGCTGAGCATGAGAGACTGACGTTAATTGTCCTTCTGATCTGCTTATTATAATTTCTCCAAATTTGGGTGAATATGCTGGGCAAGAACTCAGAAGCAAGGCTTTGAATCTTGTTGGGCAAATTGCATTCTTTCAGGACATGAAAGAAGGAAATGACAAATCTCTGAATAAAATCTTGCCAAAAACAAACTTTTTGTTTAGAATGCACTAACTTAGAACATTTCGAAGTCACATAAAACAACTAATACTAAAGTTCATAGTGCATAGAAGCCTTTGTTAACTTACTCACGTATGAATGTCTTGAAATTTAGGCGGGATCATCTATAACCATGTTCAAAGGGAATCTCCACTTCTGAGATGATTCTTTGTTAGGTGCTGTTTAACAATGTAAATACAGCTTCAGAAAATAAAAATGTTAATGTCATGATTGAATGTGACCGTACCTGAACAAACATGTCTGTAATTCGTATTCAAGTGAAAGCAGGTGTCTTCGACATGGGATTTCCAGTGCTCAACTTGCACTGGATGTGCTGATAAAATGAGAACTACTTGTCATTTATTTCAAGAGGTCTCAAAAAGAGGATATGAAACACATCTGTTGGTTCAAGGGACACATTATTAATAGTTCTTTGTGTGTCATTGGAAAGTCTGTTTCTTGTGCTCATTTTGCAGTTGTGGCATTCCTGAGGTAGAGCTCTAGGCTACATGTTTTTGTCTTTTAGGGACTTTAGAGTCCAGAATGTATCTCATCAGATTCCTGCATTAATCTTGTGATTCAGTCTTCCTGGCAGTTCTAGCCAGTCTCCTTATTTGAACAGGACACTGTTGCTGGACTTTGGAACAATAAAAAGGTTACAATTCAACTTTAAAGTAACTATAATACATATGTACATATTCTCTGAACATCAGTCATAAGAACTGCCAAAGATCAGGCTAGTCTAGTCTTATCTTCCATACATTTATTTATCCCATTGTCAAAAGCTGCATAAATATAGTGACTATCGCAGCACTATTTATTTTATTTATTTATTCTTTACATCATTTCTACCCCACCCTTCTCACCCCTGGGGGGGGGGGGGGGGGCTCAGGGCGACTAACATGGGCAACAATTCAATGCCATAATATTAACACAACAATGTAAAAATACATAGCAAGTTAAAACAATAACATTAATTAAAATCACATACTCATATACTAACATAGTCACCTAATCAAAATCACATATCCGTTTCCAGTTGTCATAACAATCCTATGGTCCGGGTTCAGTGTCTAAAGTGCTGTTATGTCCACTAGCCGAAGGCCTGGCTCCAAAACCACAACTTTGGTTTTTTCCTAAAAGTAAGGATGGAGAACGCCGATCTAATCTCACTGATGTTCAAATGCAAGAGACATCTAAATTACAGCAGTCCTTGTTTCACCAAACATATTTCCAGATTTTTTGTGGTAACCCATACAAGTGCTAACAAATGCTGACCTGTTTAGCTTCCAAGATCAGACTACATCTAGCATCATAGGGTATTTAGGCCTATCCCAAAAGCACTTACATAGACATAATTACCATCATATATCACCAGGTAGGTTTCACTATTTCCCCTACAATATACCTGAAAGAAAAATGTCTTAAATTACAGTGCAGTTGTTTGTTGGAAACCCATCTGAGTTCCCTCGGGAAGCTAGGTGCGGGATACAAATAAAGTTATTATTATTATTATTATTTGTACATTGAGGCTTTCTCTGATTTTTCCTGTATTACAGTATCTGTCTTATTGCCCATTCTATAGAGCAGGCTCTTCTTTCTGATTTTAAAGTTTATCTAGTACAAACCTCATGGTCAGTTCAGGGTCCGTCTAGGAAAGAAAGCTTCAGGTTAAATGTGATCCTTTCACCATGTTTAAAGCAAGGGTGCCATGCTCTGCTGCTATCATTTTTCYCCCCCCCCCCCCCTGCGAACATATCATTTAAACCATTTTCATTTACCTATGAAAATAAGTGAAAATAACATAGTGCCACTTCAAAGTCTTTAAATTTCAAATCTTTCAGTGCAAAGAATTGCAAGTTCAAAAGAGTTAACCATTTGAAGTCAACCTAGCCTGAGCGATCCCAGTTGGCTTTTTGAAAGGTGTTTACATAACGGCTGGAAAAAAGTGGAAGAGAGTACTAGCCAGTGAATGTGCTGGCAGTCTCCTGTCATGTGGACCTGAATTTATTATTGTCTTGGAGAGTGCTCCTGGTGTACTCGGTACAAATCCCTCCCTTAAGTGGCAAATTTTTCCCAGCACCCTATAATTCTGTCTTGTCATTCCTATGAGAGTAGTCATGTCCCAGATTCCTTCAATGTCCTTTTGATTTTCTGAAACTCAAAAGTCAGTGCCATATTAACAGTGTGTCTTCACTTGTTGTCTCTCTACTTTATTTCAAGTTATTATAGAATGTTCCTGGCCCGTGCTTGTCTCCATGCTGTGGTGCTTGCCATCATAACCGCCTCAACAACTGTTGAGAATAAATGTGATCTAGTTGGTGAGGAAGGGCATGAATCCACCAAGGAAAAAGCACTGCTGAAGAGATTGGAGCCACTTGCCAACATGAGGTACAGTGCTTGGAGCAAAAGTGGCTTGCTCAGAAAAGAGATGATTGTGATGCAATAAATGAAACAGAGGCCAGTGGCTTAAAGGGAATGTTTGAACAATTGATGTTAGGAAACAGGAAGTGATCCAGAAGTCACTTGATCATGCTGGCTGGGAGATTTTAGGAGTCCCTGACTTGACTTGAGTGGGGTGTTAGTGCCATTGCAACAAACACAAATCCACTACAAGTCGTAGTACATAAATCACAAAGGTAAATGTTTTTTTTAGCTTATATAATACAATATTAAACGTATAACCAACTTATATGATGCAGCATTGAGCAATATACAATGAACAAAAAACTCCACTGATTCCATTTTTATAAACATTTTGTTGATTTAAATCATAATGCAGAATCACTCCGGGTGCTGGTTTTAGAGGTTGTCACCCCCCCTCTAATTTGGATTTGGGTACTAAATTATTACAGCGTGAAGCCTTTTGGATTTTCACCCTTAAAACTGTACATCCCAATGGTCTAAATGACACCATTTCATACCAGTGTTACCTGTAAACTATAGTGTATAGCTCTTTAACACTTTCATTACTTGCTCTACCTGGTTTGGGCCCCTTTAATTGCTTCACTATATATACTAGTTTCTACCTGTTAGCCATGTGCTTGCTACAGAATCAAATCATTGCAGAGCACGGTTTAGGAGAACCTGATGTAAGTACCTATGCCTCTTTTGTTTTGTACGCCCTACATGCTAGCAACATATAGAAATATTTATCCCTTTTGGGACATGTTCTAGCCACCTGTGTATATTCCCTTTAGATCCACTGTTTCATTGTATTCTTATCCACCTGAGGAAGAATTATTAGTTTGGAGAACTTGATGTCCACTTCATTGTACTCTTCACATTTCTCCACCTGAGGAAGATGTTAGTCGAAACCGGTCTGGAAATCCTCTACATGGATATCCTCTTACAAGGGGCTGGAAACTCCACTCAAGAGTATCTTTCTCTAAAGTAAGGGATCTTATGCCCTTAAGAGAAGTCTGCTTTACAGCAAGAAAGACTCTACTCTTGTTACTGATGTAAAATCACTGTATAAACTACAGTTTTTTGTTCATTGTATATTGCTCAGTGCTGCATCATATAAGTTGGTTATCGTTTAATATTGTATTACATAAGCTTAAAAAAAAAATTTACCTTTGTGATTTATGTACAATTTATTTATTTATTTACATCACTTCTACCCTGCCCTTCTCACCCCCGAGAGGGGACTCAGGGTGGCTTACATGGGCAACAATTCAGTGCCATAATGTCAATACAACAACATAAAATCAAATACATAAAAATTAACAATAATATTAATTAAAATCACATACTCATATACTAACATAGTTGCCTAATCAAAATCACATATCCGTTTTCTATTGTCATAATCCTATGGTCCGGTTCAGTGTCTAAGTGCTGCTAAGTCCACTAGCCAAAAGCCTGACTCCAAAACCACGACTTTAGTTTTTTCCTAAAAGTGAGGAGGGAGGACACCGATCTAATCTCATTGGGAAGCGAATTCCACAAGCGAGGGGCCACCACTGAGAAGGCCCTGTCCCTCGTCCCCACCAGACGCGTTTGTGACGCTGGTGGGACCGAAAGCAGGGCCTCCCCATTAGATCTTAAATTACGAGGTGGAACATAGAGAGAGATACGTTCGGATAAGTAAGCTGGGCTGGAGCCGTACTACGACTTGTAGTGGATTTGTGTTTGTTGTGATTTAGGGAATCCATTGTCTTCTGTGTTAGTGCCATTGGCCGTGCTGGCTGTGGAACTGTAGGAGTAGTAGCCCAAATAAGAGGGAATGTTTCCAAGCCTTTCTTCTCAAAACACATGAAATGAGCAGATGTTGTTCCTTCATTTGAGAAACAAACACCAATTTGGGTTTTCAGAAAAGCCGGCGGGAGGGGGGAAATATATTTCCAGTTCTTTCAGATTTTTGATCATGCAACGTATTGTAATTATTCCTTAGGGTGGAATCCCTACAGTTCTAAAATATAATACCTCTGGTGTTTCCTCCTGCAGTTTTCAAACAGAGAGTAAAAGTGGTAGTGATACCTACACCTACACATTCCGGGTGTGTCGAGAAGTTTCTGGTAGTAGTCCCTATGCTGGTTTGGTGCAGGAGGATGCAACGCAGAAAAAAGTAGCGGTGGGGCGAATCAACGAGACCCACCTCGCCAGTGGAAGTAAGATTGCCCAATTCCTCAGCAGATCTTCTCTGTTACACTACCTGTAGAATATGTGCTTCATATTCTTTGTATTTGTGTCTTGACAGGTAAGTGGATTATGCTGATCTATAAAGGGGGAGATCGCTATAATAGCCGTTGTGACAAAGAGAAGAGAAAAGCCATAATAATGATCAACTGTAACCGGAAAACACTAGCAGTGAGTAGTTACTAAAGATGGGGAAGTTAAAAGAGTCCAGGGTTTATTTTTTTACCAAATTTCTCCTGCCTGGGAGTAATTGCTCATTATCGTATCTCCAGTTTTGAGTGCATTTGAGCTGAGTTACATGCTCAAAAGAATAAGATTATACATTTCTGCAGGGATGGTAACAGATCAGAATAGCAATGATGTTCTTTCCTGCTTCAGCATTCCATTGGTTGGGCAAGTTTTCACCAGCAGTTAGTTCTTTATGTAAAAATTGGTTAAAACGTGAAGCCTGTATTGTCAGATAATACTGTGAAAGAGATAACCTCTCTTGCTGGCTTGCAAGAGAAATACTGCCCGATTGAAATGAAGTCACCAGTGAGGATAGTCTAGGTGTCTCAGAAGGCTAAAGGGAAGGAAGGATTCTGTCCTGTTTGTATTTTGGGGGTAATGCATGTATTGATGACTTTCATGAATATTTTATGTTACCCAAACAGACTGGTTTCACTATGGTCACAGAAGAGCGGGAGAAGATAAACGAGTGTTTCTATATCTTTGAGCTAGAGAGCAGCTTGGCCTGTCCTCCAGAAGACTCACATCTAAGTGTTGGTTCCATATTGCTCATCATGTAGGTTTATCTAAAATCCTCTGCACTTCACTGCACTCATTGTCTTGTGTCATTATATATCAGGGGGATTTAAAGGTATTAAACAATTTAATTTTGGGACAGGACTACTTTTTGAAAATTGAATTCGCCTACAGTTGCTTACTTCATGGGTCTTATCTCAAAATCACGGAGCCCCCGGTGGCACTGTGGGTTAGACCCCTGTGCCTTCACAGGTTCAAATCCGGGGAGAGGTGGATGAGCTCCTTCTATCAGCTCGGGCTCCTCATGTGGGGACATGAGAGAAGCCTCCCATCAGGATGATAAAAACATCAAATCATCCAGGCGTCCCCTGGGGAACGTCCTTGCAGACGGCCAATTCTCTCACACCAGAAGTGACTTGCAGGTTCTCAAGCCGCTCCTGACATGACAAAAAATAAATAAATCTCAAAATCAGATATTATAGTGGCAGTGTGAACTTGACTTACCTGCTCAGGAATAATGAATCTGTACACTGAAGGATGTGTATTTGTAACTCTGCAAGGCAAGTGTTGGCATCTTCCCAGCTTATTTCAGAATAAAGAACACATGTGTAGGGAGGTTTCTCTATAAACATAAAAGTTTTCTTCCTGATATATTTGTATTTTGAATTTGTATTCCAGATTTGCATCGCTGGTTGCAGTGTATATCACTGGAGGATTTCTTTACCAGCGTCTGGTAGTGGGAGCAAAAGGCATGGAACAGTTTCCCCATTTTGCTTTCTGGCAAGATCTGGGCAACCTAGTGGCAGTAAGTAGTAAAGCACTTGTCTTTGCAATATGGAAGTCACAGCCTGTGGTGATTTTCTCTAAAAATTTCATATTCCAAGACCTTACAATGCTGGGGAAAAGTTGCTTTCGGTACCTGGCTGATCTGCTAATATGTCATGAGATCATGGGTTGGCATGATGGAAGTGAGCTGCAGGGTGCTTTGAGTTATCAGGGTCCCGGCATCAAATGAAATATTGTTGAAAATGTGCACAAAGGAATTGCAGCAAATCTCAGGCCTGTTCCTTTCTTCAAGGGGCCCTTCCACACAACCATATAATCCAGAATATCTGCTTTGAACTGGGTTATCTGAGTCCACACTGACATATATTACAGTTCAAAGCAGAAAATGTGGGATTTTATTCAGCTGTGTGGAAGGGGCTAAGCACAGTTGAGGAAGAGTTCAGGACTTTTCTTGTGAAGCAAAGAACCACACATCAAAAGATATCTCCAATGCAATACACTATAGTTTATCTTAACCTCAAACCAGTTATTGACAAATTAGACATAATGAATCTACTTGTGTATAAGTCAACCTAACGTAAAAAGTTGGGTACAGATTTATGAGCCAAAATTACAGGTTTTGATATGAGGCATTCCACAGAGGGGGGACCAACCAGGGTACCCCTGGCTACTGCCATTTTCCCTTCCAGAGATTCAAAAGGGGTGGAAAGCAGCACAGCAGTAAGTAGAGGCGAGGCAGTTTGTGATTCTTTTAGCCTCTCCTGGGACATACTATGTCAGGCATAGTATTCAACACTTTTAAGCAGGGGGCTGGTTCTAAAGTTTAGTGTGGGGGCTGGATAAATTACCTTGGGGGCCACATCTAGCCCATGGACCTTTGTTTGGGAACTCCTGTACTATGCTTTTGTTACTCCACTTAGAGAAGGGGGAGTATTTAAATTGACCTGTGAATAAATCAACACAGATTTTCGAGTTTGTTTTTGGCTAACATTTCTGGAGCTCTACATGGATATATACCAGGCATGGGCAAACTTCGGTCTTCCAGGTATTTTGAACTTCCAACTCCCAGAAATTAGGAATTGTGGGCGTTGAAGTCCAAAACTCCCGGAGGGCTGAAGTTTGCCCATACCTGATATATATAGTAACAAATCAGGGAGTCCTGACCCATCAGCAGTATACTCATGAGTACTGATTGTTCCCAGGACCCTTCTACATCCCAGGGTCTGATCCCAGATTATCTGCTTATCCAATATGATCTGGCAGTGTAAACTCATATAATCCAGTTCAAACAGATAGGTCAGCTGAACCTAACAGAAACCCATGTTACTGCTTGATTCTTTCCCAAGTAGCCCAAGAGAGAATCCATGTTTGTTTCACTGGCTTGTTGCAGGAGAAACGAGCAGTATGTGAAAAGCTGCTGAGTTGGGACACCTCAATTTTAAAAAACAAACCAGTTTATTTAACATTACTCCGCTTCTTTCACTATTACATTCAAAAGCCCTGTTTTTTATTGTCCAAATGCAGCCAATGAGGTGTGGGGTTTTTTTGGTTCCCTGGTTTCCATGCTGGGGTTGCATTGGGCTTTTAAAGATAACAGGTGAATTCTTTTGTAGATTTTAATATTAGCATACTATAGATCCTCTTTTAACCTTGGTTGCTTGCACCAAGAGCACTGCTCCTTGGTGCATTTTTCCTAGAATCATTTGTGCTTAATTTGAGTTTCTTCCGTGTATCTTCAAGATTAAGGAGGCTAGAATCAATCATTCTAAAAAGTGAAACTTCCCAATATGGACTATAACAGAGTAAGACGAAGTTCCAACCATTTCTTGTAGTCTCACAGCATTAATCTGTGTTCGCAGGATGGCTGTGATTTTGTGTGCCGGTCCAAACCACGAAATGAACCAGCTGCATATCGTGGTGTTGGTGATGATCAGCTTGGAGATGAGTCGGAAGAGCGAGATGACCATTTACTACCCATGTGATCTCTCTAATTACTTTCTGTGACCAGTCCTTCGCATCAGCAGCTGGCACTAAGCCACTTTCCCCCCTCATCTTTCTGTCTTTTCTAGTTGCCCCTTTAAACTGCTTGCTTTCACCAAGACGGTCCCATTTTTCCTTTCTGCTGATGCAAATAGGGGCAGGACTTATGAATGCAAAGGTGTTCTAATGAGCTTTGGAATAAGGGGAATTGTCAGGGTCTTGTGTAGCAAAACAGACTTCATTGCCTGGAAAGCCTCAGATTTTACATGACCTGTGGACAATTAGATGTCTTAATTACAGAGAGTGGACCAGCATATCTGTTATGTAAGAGAAGGAATGGCCTGAAATGCAGGGAAATTAGTGCTAGCAAGCAGATGGAAAGGTTAGAGCAGCTGGTTTTGAGAGTATTTTCTATAGACTTTATTGTAAAGAACTCTGGGGTGTTCTCCCCGCCCCCCGCTATTCGGGTGTACATTTTCACATCTTGCAAGTTTTCCTTGCGTTTTCTAATTCTTCCCTGACGTGCAGTTGACGTACCATCTGAACCTCTATCTGCTTTTCTTAACCAAAGCCTGTATTAAATGTACATTTGGGTTTTGTTTGATCACTGGCAAAGGAACCTGCCAATAATATGTATATTTTGAGAAAAGGTCCAGAAGTGAATTAAAGCTGGAGAATTAAGGCAGCCTATAGCAAAACAGTTCCTGTGATGCCATTCCCTTGAAACACTTTAGTAATGTAATGGATCATTCAGCTTTAATTGTGAACATGATTGTGGCCACATGTCAAAGACTGATCCTCAACAGGAGTAGGATTTAACAAGACAAAGGCAGGATGGATAAAGACAACTGCCAAAGAATGTGTGTTGTTTTGAATTCATTGCTCCAAGCCTTTGGGACTATGAAATAAATACAAAGATAGAGATGTGAAGCACCAGATTCCTGCCAGGATTTTATTTTTTTTTTTTACTTCGAAGGGACTCAAGAAACTTCCACTATTACTATGTGTCTCAGCTATTACTGCTGTCTGCTCTTAATGAGGGATATCAAATCCATCCTGTTTCTGTATTTGCTTTGAAGGAATGGGACATAGTCCTGTTAATTTTGGAGTTGGACAGGTGGATGTAGGACAGCTACCTCATAAAAGAGTGGAAAGCTGCAGCTCAAAACACATCCCTTTCTGGTGAAGGTATAGTAACTTAGTTCAAGAAATATTGGGATTCCTGAATTCACTTGAATTTGCTAGGAACTGCAGCTCTATGGGAGAGGATACCTACTTCTATTTGCTATCCTGTTAGGAGCTGGTGGTCTTAATGAGAAATATATCTCTGGGTCAATTTGTCCTTTTCAAAAAGAGAGTCGAAGCTTTTGATGAGGTGAAAGAGACACAAGTTATGCAGTCTGATTAGTCAAGCCTCTCAAAGAAAGTGGGTCACTGCAACAGACACTTTTTCACTGTGGTGTTTAAGAGACTTTGTACAAAAACATAGACTTTAAAAATAAAATGGCTTTGAAAGCCCTAAACTGTGTGTTTTCAGTTCATCAGCACAGATAGTAAAGATGCTCATTTAGAAAATATTTACTGCTCCAAGTCCTTCTGACACTGTATGTTCCACATTTATTGCAGTTAGTTTGGTGTGAACTGAGCAAAGAACAAGAGTACGAAACTGCTTCATGATAACTGTACAGCCTTCTCACATCTTGCAGATTTCTTCATTTAAGAAGCTACTGTGCTATAGTAATATTCATGACAATTTCCCACTAAACATCTGCAAGAATCAAATAGCTCGGCAGATGTTGCCACAATACAACTTCATCAACCATGCTGCCGAGGGCTGCTGGAACCTACAGTTCAGCAACATCCAGAAAAGCTAGGGGAACAAAACATTTCTTTTTCTGAAAAACCTTCAGCTAGAAAGATAAAGTATGTACCAAGACCTTTTATAACTGTAAGCCGTCCTCTAGCCAAACATGTTGTGTTTTAAGGCAATACATGCTGAAGTAGTTATCTGGAAGAGAAGGAACAAGCCAAGAGTCATGGCAATTATCCAACAGGTGCTGGGAAGCTTTCTAAATTCAATAGAAAGGTTTTTATGGAGTAAAAGATGGAACTGGGTCTTGCTATTGATTTTATGTCTTTCAGGCTTGTTCCAAACACACTAGCAGAATCGTGGAAATAACTGTCCTACTCTAATCTCTTCCGATAGTACAACAGATATATAGGTTACAAAAAGATTCAAGAAATGTTAAAGAAGTCTGCATTGGTGTTTCAACATATTGTTTTAACATCTCTTCATTAAGCTTTCATTCAAATCCTATAACAGGCCTTGGTGATGCTCAGTGATACAAGAGAAAGACAAAAGCAAAGCAATGCCACTACACTTGATATCTATGCCAGGTATCAAAAAAGCTGGTAGTCAGGGGAAGGATCAGGCTCAGAAAAAAATAGCAACTCTGTTTTTGAAGCATTCTTTTTACTGAGGAACAGAATATTTGTATAATAAAGAAAAATATACAGGCTTTGATAAGAGATACAAACCTGCAAGAAGAAGCTTTTGTCCCAAATGCTCTCTCAGGGGGAGGGCAAAGTACAAAACTGAACAAAGAAAACTTTTAGAAGCAAGATAGAAACAACTRGAGTTCAGTACACTTGGATTCTCCTTTGGATCTGGGGTGGTATCTCCAAAACACACAACACAAACAAGTGGAATTATATGATCTTTAAAAGACATTCTCCTCTGATGCYATAGCCAAAAGTGCTCTTGTTGTCTAGGGAAGGGTTCCATTAGGAAKGAACAAGCTCTTCTCCTTCAAATGATCCACAATACTTTAGCTTTAGTGTTCTAGATGGTCAGTTTGCTACTGACTTCCAGTCAACACCAAGAAAGGAACATGWTGTTGTTYAAAAACTTCAGTTCCAAATGTAATCTTTCAGCTTCCCCTCCTCGGCAAGAGAAAAAAATAAGCAAGGTGTGTTGATCCTCTGTGAATCTGTGCAGAAGAAAAATCCCATGGGAAGGAGAACATGAACATCCAAAAACTCTGGTACTGAGAAGAAAAATRGCTCCCTCACCCCTTCCACTAAGAAGCCTCAGCACAGAATAAATCAGCATCTTTGCCATGCTGCCCTCAGGAACAAGTCACAGGCTAGAGAACTTGCAGGCAACATGAAATGCTTTAAGGACTCCAAGGGAGCTGTTCTCTATGTAGCACCAAGGGACAGGCTTATAAGAGCTTGGTTTCCATCAGTTCCCTCTACGCTGAAAAGCTGGGGCAAGAGTCGCAGTCTACAAGAGGGAATCAGTCTGTCTTTCCATGTTCTTAGGTCTCTTTGAGAATGTTAATCTTAGCGCAGATCTTGAGAGCAGGGCCCAGTTTGATATTCATGGCACTCATGAGGTGCTCTTCCTTCAGAAGGAGGAGGGCCTGACCATCAATCTCCTGAGAGCGAAACTCCTCTGCAATCTCCTGGCAACCTAAAGGATTCAAACAGGAGAGAAACCCTGTAAGGGGCAATAGCAAGAAGACTAGGCACTGTTATATTCATCTATACTTTGAATTTAAGAATGAGAAAGACTTTGAATCTGTAACAGAGGAAGAGTGCCATTTTTTTGTTCAGTTTACTCTAGAACAGTGCTTCCCAAACTCCAGTCCCCCAGGAGTTTTGGACTTCAACTCCTAAAAGCCTCCGCTGCCTTGGCCAATGACCAGGGATTCTGGGGAAATTAAGTCCAAAACTCCTAGGAGAGCACACTGGGAAACACTGCTCTAGAATACCCTTAAATACATGCTAGCAAGTATACGCTTAAATACATGCTAGCAAGTATACGGGAGAGCACACTTTGGGAAACACTGCTCTAGAATACCCTTAAAAACATGCTAGCAAGTATACGGGAGGGGGGCATTTTCACTTTTTGAGACCAACTTACCTGCCGGGGGACAAAAACAATTTTTGCACCAGGGTGTTATGTGGTTTCCAGGCTGTATGGTCATGTTCTAGCAACATTTTCTCCTGACGTTTCACTTGCATTTGTGGTAGGCATCCTCAGAGGATCTGAAAATGCCAGTCACAGATACAGGTAAAACATCAGGAGAAAATACTAGAACATGGCCATAGAGCCTGGAAAGAACACAACACCCCAGTGATTCTGGTCATGAAAGCCTCTGACAATACAATTTTTGCTCTGTTGTGATCCAAACCATCCACTAGAGCAGGGGTCCTCAAACTAAGGCCCAGGGGCTGGATGAGGCCCTCCAAGGTCATTTACCCAGCCCTCACTCCGGGTCAACCTAAGTCTGAAATGACTTGAAAGCACATAACAACAACAATCCTATCTCATCAGACAAAAGCAGGTCCATATTTCCCATTGAAATACTAATAAGTTTATATTTGTTAACACTGTTCCCCATTTTAATTATTGTTTTTCAGTGTTTTTTACACTACAAATAAGATATGTGCCACGTGCATAGGAATTTATTCTTTTTTTTTTTCAAATTATAATCCGGCCCTCCAACAGTTTGAGGGACTGTGACTTGGCCCTCTGTTTAAAAAGTTTAAGGACCCCTGCATTAGAGGGTCAGGGAGAGCATTTACAAATTTCAGCCAAAGAGCAGCTTTAAAAACAAAACAAAAACAAAACTTAAAACATGGTTAAACTACTGTATGCCCCCTATGCATTTTAAAATTTTTCTTTTATTGTTTGGCAAGTGCAGCCCACTAGCCCTCCACAGTTGCCCATCTGCAATACCGCATAAGGTGCTTTCAAGTTCAAAATACCCCACAATGATTCTTAAATCTGCTGTCACGTCCACATATTGGGATGAAGGGATCCGAGACAAAAGATACCAGACTAAACACATCACATCTGTCATCATTATGGTATACTAACACAGACGATCAGTCACGTGCCACAGACAACAACTTTCGTACTAACCCTATTTTGAGCATCCAATTGCACCATATAATTAGGTTTTGTAAGGGGAGTTAGTACTTGCTCAGTCTCCTTCCATTGCAATCCAATCAGTATAGACAATATTGGGTTAAACCAGGTATGGGCGAACTGGTTCACATGAGAAATGTGTATGATTCACCCTTTTACAAATTGGACAGGAGAGCTGAAGTGTGCCTGTAGTCTATTATACTTCTGAGCATGTCTTCTCTTTTGAAGAAAAAAAAAAACAAGCAAAGGAGGAGGTGAACTTGCCTTGTAGGGATGCAATAAATTCATACACTTCCTCTACACTCCAGCGGCTGGGATTGCTGGATAGGAAAACTGGATTGATGCCATGGAGGTCAGGGATAGGTTGAATCATATTTGAGCTGCCAAGGTCCCGGTCACCGTGACTGGGCCTCACTGAAAGGGGTCCTGGGGACGTAGGGGACAGAGCTTCATCATAGCTGGAGTTATCGGATCCTCTACTTGAATCTTCTTGGCCCTGCAAAACCAAAACAACAGAAAATACAGTAAGAGGGAATACTTCATAGGATAACTCAAACAAGTATAGCCCAAGAATAAGAGGCGGCCCTGTGAATCCTCAAAGAAAACATCAAAAGATGACACTCTGGCAATTCCTTCAATATGTCACACAGTAGGAAGCAAGCTTCCAATTTTGGAAATGCCAGATGTTAGTACAAAATCTGTATTGCACTAGATGTTACTTGGAAAGAATTTAGAGAAGAGCTGGACACCTTCTGAATAGTTGCTAAAAATGTATTGTTGAAGGCTTTCATGGCCGGAATCACTGGGTTGTTGTAGGTTTTTCGGGTTGTATGGCCATGTTCTAGAAGCGTTCTCTCTTGATGTTTCGCCAGCATGGATACAGGTGAAACATCAGGAGAGAACGCTTCTAGAACATGGCCATACAACCCGAAAAACCTACAACCCAGTTGCCAAGGGCTCAGTCTGATATGTGCCTGTTTAATCTTAGCAACAATGTAGGATCATAGAATCATAGAATCCTAGAGTCATGGGCCATCCAGTCCAACCCTCTGCAAAAGCAGGAACATTGCATTCAAAGCACCCCTGACAAATGGCCATCCAGCCTTTGTTTAAAAGCTTCCAAAGAAGGAGCCTCCACCACACTCCGGGGCAGAGAGTTCCACTGCTGAACAGCTCTCACAGTCAGGAAGTTCTTCCTCGTGTTCAGATGGAATCTCCTTTCTTGTAGTTTGAAGCCATTGTTTTGTGTCCTAGTCTCCAGGGAAGCAGAAAACAAGCTTGCTCCCTCCTCCCTGTGACTTCCTCTCACATATTTATACATGGCTATCATATCTCCTCTCAGCCTTCTCTTCTTCAGGCTAAACATGCCCAGCTCCTTAAGCCGCTCCTCATCGGGCTTGTTCTCCAGACCCTTGATCATTTTAGTTTCGCCTCCTCTGGACACATTCCAGCTTGTCAATATCTCTCTTCAATTGTGGTGCCCAGAATTGGACACAATATTCCAGGTGTGGTCTGAGCAAGGCGGAATAGAGGGGTAGCATTACTTCCCTAGAGCTAGACAGGAGGAAATAAGTTATCAAGTACATTCAGCCAGTTTAATATGTTAAGGCTTTTTCATGTTCACTGATTCCCAAATGGAATGGGACTGCAGCTGTACTTTATTAGGCAGCATACATACTGTATAATGTGGTAGCTATAAAACTATGCCACATGCCTCTTTCAAATCAAGCCATCACAGTATTGTCTCCTGGGTATGCAAGAGAAAGAGTTGGGTTTGCACCCTCACCCTGTGACGTTTGCCCTGGATCTTGGCTCGAGCAATCTCTGAGCTGCTGCGCCGAGGTCCACGTCGCCGACGGGCATAATTTGCTTCCTGGAGTTCTTTCATTTTCTTTCTTTGCAGCCGAAGTTGGTGACTACAGCCCACATTGTACCTAGCATGGGAAAAAAAGGGGAATAATGTCTTTACTTCTTAGCCTAAAACTAGAATCGATGGAAGCTGTACGATCTCAAGGTATTTTCAAACAAATAGCCAAGGAGGGGGATGCTGCTGATGCCTACATGCTTGCATAAAGAGGAATTTCCGGGCCAACCATCTGTTTTGGATAACTACCATCATGCTCGTGGCAGAAGCAACTGTTGACTTGTTTAACCATATGGGTGCCACTGTCAGACCTGGGCATGAGGAACCTTTTCTGGAAAAGGCAACAGCATCACCTGATCAACAACACAGGTTTTCTGAGTTTTAAAACTCCTTTTTCAAGGAAATAATAAAAATCTATTTATAAAAGTAACTGAAATGTATTAGGCACTGTACAGAAATAATTGGCTTATTAATAATTTAGGAGTGCCTCCATGATCAAATCAAAAACACTAAATTGGAAGTTAAAGATCAGTGACCTTATGAAACACGGTGTCTCAAATAGGAAATGATGTTATTGTTACCTCTTGGCACATGTTACAGAACAAAATCTCTTAGAACCACGGAACTGATTGGCCGGGCCATATTTTCCACAGAATTCACATTTCAGCAGGTTCGCTTTCTTGTCTTGTTCTGAGAAAATGGGAGAGAAGGAGGGATATGGACAGTCAAGAAAAATAACTTTTCCAACTAACTACAGCAGAAGGCAAACCTATGATTTCATGCTTGAGAGTCAGTATAATCTCCTGTTGAAAGAATTATCAGCAACTGATGTAGAATATCAAAGCCTCCAGCAAAGAAAATGAAAACATCTGTAACAATATGTCTTCCCTTTGTCTCTGAATATATGAGTACGTGTCTGTCCCTTCATTTATCCATCTTGTGGAGTTTGAAAAAAAAAATAGATCAGGGCATGACACTTGTAGGAGGCAGGGAGTTGCACCACACCATTTCAAACTTTAGAGGGCCACACACTCACCAACCTGCCCCTGTCATCTCTCCCTTTTTCTTTGGCTTTTAAACTAACATCCTTATCACTAGGAGCGTCAATTAATGTAACTGGCTAATTGGAGCCAATTCTAAAAGCTCCTACTTCTATATTTAGGCCTAAGGAGCCTTTTTTTCAACACCAGAAGGGACCAAAAGTCACCTCAATTTCTGATCCACTTCCACCCTGGCCTAAAATTACCGTATATTTTTTATGTATCTTGACCTCATATATATAAAACGATATGTTTTGGAGCCAAAATGATGGATTTAGATATAATCCATGGAGACATTGAGAGTCATCCCACAGAAAGAGAAAATCACTAATGCCACCATGGGAGGAAATCCACTCCTGGCCACCACCATTTTCCCATCAAGGCATCGAAAATGCCTTTTGCCATGCAACTAAGAGATGGAGAAGGTTCCCTTTTTTAATATAAAGGTCAAGGTACAATATTAGTTCTTATAAAAGAAAAAGAACTACGCCCTTCTCTTGAGTAGAGAGGAGAAAGGATTTGTGTGTCCTGAGAAAACTTAAAAGAACCACCACCACCCTTAGAATCATAAAGGTGGAAGAGACCTCATGGGCCATCCAGTCCAACCCCCTGCCAAGAAGCAGGAATATTGCATTCAAAGCACCCCTGACAGATGGCCATCCACCCTCTGTTTAAAAGCTTCCAAAGAAGGAGCCTCCACCACACTCCGGGGCAGAGAGTTCCACTGCTGAACGGCTCTCACAGTCAGGAAGTTCTTCCTCATGTTCAGATGGACTCTCCTCTCTTGTAGTTTGAAGCCATTGTTTCGCGTCCTAGTCTCCAGGGAAGCAGAAAACAAGCTTGCTCCCTCCTCCCTGTGGCTTCCTCTCACATATTTATACATGGCTGTCATGTCTCCTCTCAGCCTTCTCTTCTTCAGGCTAAACATGCCCAGCTCCTTAAGCCGCTCCTCATAGGGCTTGTTCTCCAGACCCTTGATCATTTTAGTCGCCCTCCTCTGGACACTTTCCAGCTTGTCAATATCTCTCTTGAATTGTGGTGCCCAGAAGACACAATATTCCAGGTGTGGTCCAACCAAAGCGGAATAGAGGGGTAGCATGACTTCCCTAGATCTAGACACTATGCTCCTATTGATGCAGGACAAAATCCCATTAGCTTTTTTTGCCCCTCTGTTCTCTCAGCATTACTTTGAGGGGAAGTAGCATTTTCTCCTTCAAAAAGGCCAGAAGTGGTGCCACAGTAGAGCACAGTGAATCCAAACAAGGGCAGGTTTGGAGGACATGACCTGTTGTTAAGTTGAGGGCCATCCCACAGAGAGAGAAAAGTGCCAGCATTGTCTCTTCTGGCCAGCCACTCCTGGCCACCATTTTCTCAGCCAGCACTAAAAAGCCAGAAACAATGCCAGAGCGAAGAGAGGAGACTACTTCTTTTAGGTTCTTCTAGGATGCACTATGCTCTTGCCTCTCACCCCTCTATGCCCAAGAGAAGGGAATGATTCCTTTTACCAAAAAGGTAAAAGTTAAGGTTACTGTACTTACACACAGCACCTGGATAAGTCAACCCAGATTTTTGGGGTCAATTTTTGACAAACATTTCTAGACTTATATGCGGTAGACAAACTGTGCCCCTGATTTTAGAGGGAAAAGTAGGTTTCGCAGAATGGTTTGGGACAGCTGCCTGGAACCCATGGGGCACCTTATGCCTACCATTAATGTGTCAGAACCTAATGCCTTCAAGTGAGGGAGATTAAATTCCCTCTGCTCATTTAATTCAAACATACCTTCAAGAAAGTGTAAATAAATCAAAAACACTTGGAATTGGCACTTGGTGACCATCATGGACGAAAATATGGACAGAGAACTAAAAAGCTCCAACAGTTACTAACACAGAAATAGCTCACTCGAAATTGAGACTCTCTCTTTTAACTACTAAGGTCAACAGTAAACACTTACTGTATATACTCGAGTATAAGCCTAGTTTTTCAGCTCTTTTTTTAGGCTGAAAAAGTCCCCCTCGGCTTATACTCGAGTCAAGGTTATTAATTATTTTTCTCTGTTATTATTATTATTATTTGTAATACATTTATAATTTTACTCTATTAGTATTATTACATTTATTAGTATTATTACATGCACAATGGTGGACCTTCTTGCGGCAACACCAGAGGCACTCCAAGTGGCCAGATACTGGTCAAAGGATATTTAACCAACTACCAAGTTTGCAAAATCTGTGTTTTTTTTAATCTGTGTGTTTGTTTTGCTGTTAGAAATGTAATACAATGGTATGGTTGCTGATGACACGATAAATAAACTTTATTATTTTACTTTATTATTGTTATTACATTTATTATTTGCATTTATTATTTTATTCTATTATAACTCTTATTACTACATCAATAATAATAAATGTAATAATGTATTTTATTAATAAATTATTACATTTATTATCTTATTCTCTTTATTATTATTGCAAGGATACATAAGCACATTTACACTGAAGAAGATGAAAATAATGGTTTCATCAGAGTTGGACAGTTATCTTAAATTACAGTTTTATGTAAATATTCAAAAACATTGGACCTACTGATACCTAATTAATGTAATTTTATTGGTATCTATTTTTATTTTGAAATTGACCAGTACCTGCTGCATTTCCCACCCTCAGCTTATACTTGAGTCAATACGTTTCCCCAGTTTTTTGGGGTAAAATTAGATACCTCAGCTTATATTCGGGTCGGCTTATACTTGAGTATATACGGTACCTGCTGTTACACTTTCCCCTCCTGGAGAGTTGCTAGACTGGTTCTCGGTCTGCCTAGTAGGAGCTCCACCTTGAAGAGGCTTTTCAAAATCTTTTATCAGTTGAGAGCAACCCACCTAAAGAGAGATGGAAAGAAAACTTGCATCAACACATGATATTCTCCAAAGTGTTCATTCTGGGCAACTCAGCACACTTGTAGGTAAGGCTACAGGGACAGGCAATTTTACCCTGTCTTCAACAAATACAAGGTAAGTTAACAAACTACTCATGCATGGAAAACAAAAAGAGGAGGAAGAGAGTTGGGGGAAGAAAAGAATAGCTTCTGTCCAGGGCACTCCAGGTTTCATGCTTCTTACCGGGAATGGTTCTGCCCCTTCCTGAATGACAAAGCCTTCTATAATATGTGTAAGGATCTGAGGCTTGACAATGGCTTGTGGAGGTTTGGAGTCTCCCATCTGACGGGACAACATGGCCAAGGTGGGCACAGGAGCAGCTGTAGAAGTGACAGAGGTGGGATCACTTGGGGATGCATTTGTAGTAGCACTGGGAAAAGATTCTGATTTCTCTGAAAGAACAGAAATAGTATTAACTATCCCAATCCATCTGAATGTCAATTTTAGTGATGTGCTTTGTATATTTCCATATGTATGCTTAAATAGAAAAGATGCATTGTATTAAGGACATAAGTGGATTCATATGGGTTAGAAAGGGAATATGCACCAATATTCAACTGCTTATCCCAGCTAGGTTAGGCAGAATTATTCAATGGGACTTACATAAACGTTTAGTAGTCAGGTTCTGACAGATTTAATGAATCTACTCTACTTGGGACGAGCAATAGGATTGAGACCATGATATAGCTGCTGGAACCAACTGTGGCAAGACAGATGTTGCTCATGTAAGCTTCAAGCCCTGGGGCGCCATGTACCAGACATACACGAAACAGTGCAAGTATTAGACATGGAAGGTAGAAAGCTATCCACAAAGCAAGACCTGGTCCAACCCCTACCCGTATTTATTTTATTTATCATGTCAGGAGCAAACCAGACAGTTGTATTTCAATTTTTTAACAAACAAACAAACAAACCACAAAGTTTGCAGGCTTGGTATTCTATTAAATGTCCTTTGACCAGTATCTGGCCACTTGAAGTGCCTCTGGTGTTGTTGCAAGAAGGTCCTCCATTGTGCATGTAGCAGGGCTCAGGTTGCATTGCAGCAGGTGGTCAGTGGTTTGCTCTTCTCCACACTCGCATGTCTTGGATTCCACTTTGTGGCCCCATTTCTTAAGGTTGGCTTTGCATCTCGTGGTGCCAGAGCGCAGTCTGTTCAGCGCCTTCCACCCCGTCTTCTGTGTGCCCAGGGGGGAGTCTCTCATTTGGTATCAGCCATTGATTGAGGTTCTGGGTTTGAGCCTGCCACTTTTGGACTCTCGCTTGCTGAGTGTTCCAGCGAGTGTCTCTGTAGATCTTAGAAAACTATTTCTTGATTTAAGTCGATTGACATGCTGACTGATACCCAAACAAGGGATGAGCTGGAGATGTCTCTGCCTTGGTCCTTTCACTATTGGCTGCTACTTCCCGGCGGATGTCAGGTGGTGCAAGGCCGGCTAAACAGTGTAATTTCTCCAGTGGTGTAGGGCGCAGACACCCCGTGATAATACGACATGTCTCATTAAGAGCCACGTCTACTGTTTTAGCGTGGTGAGATGTGTGCCACACTGGGCATGCATATCAGCAGCAGAGTAAAGCACAAGGGCAGATGTCTTCACTGTGTCTGGTTGTGATCTCCAGGTTGTGCCAGTCAGCTTTCGTATGATATTGTTTCTAGCGCCCACTTTTTGCTTGATATTCAGGCAGTGCTTCTTGTAGGTCAGAGCACGGTCCAGTGACTCCCAGGTATTTGGGTGCGCTGCAATCCTCCAGTGGGATTCCTTCCCAGGTAATAATCCTCAGAGCTCGGGATGCTTGTCTGTTCTTGATGAAAGGCACATGTCTGTGTTTTGGATGGATTAGGGATCAGCTGGTTTTCCCTGTAATAGGCAGTAAGGGCACCTAGAGCTTCAGAGAGCTTCTGTTCAACCATCTCAAAGCTCCCTGCTTGAGCGGTAATGGCACAATCATCAGCATAGATGAAACTCTCTGTCCCTTCTGGCAGTGACTGATCATTTGTGTAAATGTTGAACATTGATGGAGCAAGCATGCTTCCCTGAGGCAGGGCGTTCTTCTGTTTCCCCTACCTGTGATTCAGAAGTTTTGCTTGTAGCGCATGTTTAAGTTATATGCGATCAACCACATCTTTCACCTCGAGAACAGACAAGCATCCCGAGCTCTGAGGATTACCTGGGAAGGAATCCCACTGGAGCATTGCAACACACCCAAATACCTGGGAGTCACTTTGGACCGTGCTCTGACCTACAAGAAGCACTGCCTGAACATCAAACAAAAAGTGGGCGCGAGAAACAACATCATACGAAAGCTGACTGGCACAACCTGGGGATCACAACCAGACACAGTGAAGACATCTGCCCTTGCGCTATGCTACTCTGCTGCTGAGTATGCATGCCCAGTGTGGAACACATCTCACCACACTAAAACAGTAGATGTGGCTCTTAATGAGACATGCCGCATCATCACAGGGTGTCTGCGCCCTACACCACTGGAGAAATTACACTGCTTAGCCGGTATTGCACCACCTGACATCCGCCGGGAAGTAGCAGCCAATAGTGAAAGGACCAAGGCAGAGACATCTCCAGCTCATCCCCTGTTTGGGTATCAGCCAGCACGTCAACGACTTAAATCAAGACATAGTTTTCTTAGATCTACAGAGACACTCGCTGGAACACCCCAGCAAGCGAGAGTCCAAAAGTGGCAGGCCCAAACCCAGTACCTCAATTCATGGGTGATACCAGATGAGAGACTCCCCCCTGGGCACTCAGAAGACTGGGCGACTTGGAAGGCGCTGAACAGATTGCGCTCTGGCACCACGAGATGCAGAGCCAATCTTAAGAAATGGGGCTACAGGTGGAATCCTTGGCATGCGAGTGCGGAGAAGAGCAAACCACTGACCACCTGCTGCAATGCACCCTGAGCCCTGCCACATGCACAATGGAGGGCCTTCTTGCGGCAACACCAGAGGCACTCCAAGTGGCCAGATACTGGTCAAAGGACATTTAACCAAATACCAAATTTGCAAAATCTGTGTGGTTTTTTTTTCTTTTTTTTCTTTTTCTTTTTAATCTCTGTGTTTGTTTTGCTCTGTTAGAATTGTAATACAATGGTTGCTGATGACACGATAAATAAATTATGCATCATATCCTGAATCTGTCACAAGGCACATTAATGTAACTATAGTAAAGAGAACCAGAAAAACTCACCCCTGTTCCCTTCATTTCCAGGGCCACCCTTATCTTCAGTGGTTTTAGGACTCTCTGCCACAGGAGATTTGGCAGCCAGGAGAGGTGGTGGGGCACTAGACTCCTCCCTTTCCTCTTCTGATTCTGCTTTGCGCTTGACTGCCAAGGTCTGTGGCTTACTCTGTGTGGAGAGAAAGGAGCCAGTTTGAAAGGACAGACTCCAAATGAAGGGAAGAATAAGCTGTTTCTAGAGTCTACTTGGAAATGGAAAAAGTTGGGAAAAGGTGGAAGCAAAAGATCCTATCTAGATTAATACACTTGCCAAGGAGGAATGAACAGTGTGAACATTAATGTTAATAATACTATGATAGTAACCGTGCTAACATCAATACATTCCTCAGAATAGTACTGCAGCTGTTTGAAGAATGTGGTAAAGTAGGGCATTTAAAGCCCACAGTCAATTCCAAGTCCAACATAAAAGCACCAAGTATCCCCATACATAATATTCTTGTAATTTTGGGGATACCAAAATTACAAGAATATTATGAAGCATTTCAATCGAACAAAATCGAAGAAAATCAAGTGAAATGGATAAGAATAGAAAATGAA